ACATGCTTTACATCCCATTTATAAATGAAAACTGCTGGTTGCTTTGTACAGCAGTGAAATTGACGTTCCTGTCATTTATTAACAACTTCTCCCATAACAGCCTAGTGATGCCCGCAGGGGCCTTCCTCCATGGATGTGTGTGTGTTGCGTTGCCAGCAGGTGGTCCTACCCATGGCTTGGTGGGTGAGCGTGGTACAGTCACTGCTGCCACTGTCGCTGACATATCAGAGCTGTTTATTAAGAGGATGACAACTCTATCAAGCCCCATAAGCGGGCCCTCGTGCACAGGAGTTCTTTTGTTACTTTCAGCGAAGGTGTCATCAATCTTGCTGCCATGCTACTCTCTTGAGCTGTTGATGGCAAACACAATTCCTCCCTTTCTGCCTGGCCTCTCCCGCCTCGCAGCCTGGATTCAGGCGTAGCGAGAGGGAATCGGATAGATAGGAAGACTTTCCCCGAGAGTGCCTGTTCCTGACAGGCGACAGGGCGGACCACTTGGACACCGGGGGTGGATATATGGGACCGTGTAATGAAAAGACGTTGACAGGACCTGCTTGCTTTGTAATGAAGGTCCTCTTCAGCGTTGAATGGATACACACATCTTTCACACTTTTGTCCTCCTGTCTTCCCCACTGAATCTTTCTCATCCGTTTTAAACCTAAAATAGCGAGAGTAAAAGGAGCATCCAAGACAACGGCTCCGGGTGTTAAGCAGTTATGTTGCTGTGAGACCTTTTTCGTCTGCTTTTGTTTGTATTTTTAATAATAGAGTGTGTAATCAAACAAACTTTACCATCAAACTGTGATAACTCGAGTAAAAAAAAAAAAAAAACAGCAGCTTTCAAAGATTATTTCAATTATGACAGGAAAAAAAGCTACCCAAACCAACCTGGGACTGGGTGAAAAAGTTATGAGACTAATCACGATTTCAGGTGAGAAATTCTGAAGTTGCGAGACTCAAACTCACTCAAAATTGTTTGATTACGTGAAGAGAGAGAGATGCATAATCTACACATGGAGAAACAGCCAACTAAAATCACTCAAACCTCATTTAGGGTCAAATTACCTCAGTGGAGAGTTTCAAGGGCAAAAACTCTGCCGACCAAAAACACAGATCTGACACACTTTTGCCCCCCAAAAAATATTGATGGTCCATTTGAGTTAATGAAGGCCTCCAATTATTTGTGGTGTAAAACAAAAGGAACATTGCGCTAACAGGCAAACAGTCATGGTGGTGGCAGTGTGACGGTTCAGGACTTGGCAATCTGCCATAACTGATGGAAACGCGAATCTGCTCTGTTGCAGAAAATCTGGTAGGAGAACGTTTGACCATCGGTTTGTGACCATAAGCTCAACCACGCTCAACCTCCATGCAGTAGGAAAATGATCTAAAGCACAGCAGCACTTTCACCTGTGAATGGAAAAACAAAGAAATAATCAAGCTCAATGCTTTTGTTGATTGAGATTCTTCAAAGATAATGACAAAATCCCTCCATAGCGAAGTAAAAGACATCTTGCCAGTTACTGTCCATGCTTGACGCTGGTTGTTGTGTTTAGGCTCAGAGGGCTATCACTTCCTCACAAAAGGGGCCAGGCTGGTTTTTCTTTTAGTAAATGAAATAATTAAACTACTCTTTTATTAATAATTCCAATTATATTTCTCTCATTAACATTTGTTTAATGACATGTGTGGAACAAACACTTTTTTCCCCTTGTACTATAAATGCAAAGACATTCTGTGATTTATTTTTTTTTTTATTATTATTATTATTATTTAAAAAAAGCAGCTAAGCTTGTTTTGCAGCTGGGATTAGAAAGTAAATCCTTCTCTCAGCCCGTGAAGATGCAGCTGAATTTTCACCTCCTTTCTGTCAGTGTTATTCAAGACTCCGCTCGGCTCAAAGTGATGGACTGTGATGTATGTACTCCACTTAAGCATCGACTGAGGTCACAGACTCCATAAATGTCTCAGACAACTCTGATATTTTAATCTCTTTTTAGTTGGGGAAACGTTGGACCTTTGCCCAATCAATACGCAGGGCAAGAGCCTTGCCAAGATACCTCATGGTAACTTTTCATTGTTCTGTCTGGAAGCCGAAATGTCAACCAGAATAGCACCGCTCACGCTAAAGCTGAAATACGGCTGTCTGCAGTCAAAAACATCCCTCATTTATGACCCAGAAGCTTCTGACAATAACAAACACAGAAAATGCCAAAAATGCCCGAGGAGGGGGAGGAGGAGGGGTGCAGACTGACACCTGAAATTTCCCTTTTCTGCTCTCAAATCAAATCCAACCTGTTTAATTCATCAGTCAACAATAGCTCCCAAATGGTGGAGTGGGAGGGGAGGCGGTGGTGGGGGTGGCGCGGTTCCCTTTCTGAGAAAACGCAGCCAAAAATATCAAGACGCTCTCTCACATTAACATTGCTAATTTGTTTGCCAATGGTTTCCAAGGCGCCGAATAATTGGCTGCGAGATATTGTTTGTTCAGGTGTTCCACATAATTGAATCCTGCATTGAAAATTCTGCAGATGAATGTTGGAGGAATAGTGAAAAGAAAAGAAATCAGGCAGTTTGTCGTGCATTCCTTTTGAAACCAAGTGATTGCCGTAGATTAATTCTCATCCCAATAGCGACAAGTCATGATTGCTGCACATTAATTTTCTGGCTAATGTACAATGAGCTCACGTTCTGAATTATTAAAAAAAAAAAAAAAAAAAACTCATGTTCACCAGTTTCCAATTAGCGTCCTGTTGTTGAGCTCCTTTTTGAGGAACCTTTTTCTTTTTTTCTTTTGAGATGATATGCTTTCCTTTGCGCTTGCTGACCTTTTGAATCTCACAGATTGAATTCATGAGCCCATTATTTCCAACCAAAAATGGTGCTTTTGTCAGCAATCTGCTGTGAGCGCTGTGCTGATAAGCATGTTAATGTGTGTTGCTGCAAAGCCAGGCCTCATACGCACATATGGAAGCGATATGGCGTCCAGCTGGACACATGTGTTGACAGAGCCGGATGATGTATTTGATCATAGTTAGGTTGTGGGGAGGGTCACGCTGGGGTTTGATTTGGCTGCACGGTGCTGACCTAACGCCTCAGCTCAATCCGTCACCTTGTCCTCCCCTTGACTCCTTACCCTGTGATCCTCCTTTCCCACCCCAAAGAGCCCAAGAAAAACAATCCTGGTGCTTGAGACCCTCCCTGCACTCCAACTCCTGTCTGGACAGAAATAAATTAGACGTGGAATCAGGGGTTCTGTTTTCTTACACATTTCAAGCACAGATTTCAAACGAGGAGGGGAAAAAAAGAAAAAAACAACATTTTTAAGACGGCGTCGAAAGAAAAACAACTGGAACTGAAAATTGAATCAGATAATCCTTGACTCGTTAGTCAATATTTATATTGTTGGTTGACATAAAAAAAACCAATCAAAATAGAAATTTGAATGCTGTGTTAAATGGACAAAAGAAAAAAAAAACAGTTTACTGATCATAATTAGAAATACATTTGCACTGCTGGATGCATAAAGCTAAAAACATGGAAAGAGAAATTACATCTTCAAGCCAAAATAACAAAACAGTCTCTAAAGCCTCGTGGTGCTGCAGTTTACCCAGATCTGACTCAATGATTTAAATAAACTCATTTTACCATCAACAGTTTGGCAGGTTTCTTGTTTTAACTCGTACCTTTCAACGCCTCTCACAGTTACTGGCAATCCCAGTTAAAATGCATGAAAAACTGTAAATGAGTACATTTTTGATAGCAACGGCCTGAACTCAGATCAAAAATTTTAGAATAACCTTATCTTTAATTTGACTACATTTATTTGGTGGAGAATAAAATACTACAGAAGCGAGAAAAAAAAAAGAAAAAGGAGCATCTTTTATCAAGAGTGCCAGAATTATTTGCACTTTAACGAAAGATAAAACTACTAAAACCACTGCATTATTTTTCGTCCTACGCTTTTTTAAATTTGATCAGAATGTCTCAGAACTTCAGTTTAGTAATCCATGATTCTCTGTGTCCCTGGGGTATAAATTTGACGTGACACATAGGCCCATTTCTTTTTGCCTCTAACCACTTGGCTGGACAAGGACTCGTATTTATCTTGCCACCACACAAATAGCAGGGAGGGAAAAATAAGAGCCTTCAAAGCTTACTGCTCAAAGAGCACTGCAGCAAAGACTGGCAACGTAGGGTCACTAAGTCTTCATACCAACCATTAGATGCTTCATAAATGCCAACAGGTTGAGACGGCAGGAAAAAAAAAAACAATATGTTCTGCCATTGGAAACATAAGAAGCTTACAACGACTGAAAATGTGTTCTCTCTCTCCCAGAGCGGCAAGAACAAAACATCGGTCTGTTTTTTCGGCTTTGGTTCAGGAGTTTTTGCAGCTTGTTCTTGTCGCATCATCTGGACATAACCTTTTTTTTCTTCTTTTGTGTCAAGCAAAAATTTTGCAGTTTGTCTGAAATTTTAAGTTGGCATGGTCCCCAACATGTTTCTCTGTTTTACTGGCTTCAAGATTGTTTTGATGACAAACGCTCCAGATAGGTTTAGTGCGAAGAAAGAAATGACTTTACGGGAAGAACCATTAGGCCTGCTGTTAAGTACATTGGCAAAACTTTATGCTGTTGTCCTGTTTTTCTTCAAAAACGGTCCAGTGAATGTTGTTACAGGATGAACATTTTAAATATTAGCAGAACATTTCCAATTGGTCATCCCTGAGTTTTTCAGCAGGGTAACAAACATAAAACCAAATAAATATAGAACATTTTTACCATACATAAAATCAACCTTTCATGGCCAACCTTGTGAAATGTTCTAGGAGATTTCTAAGCACTGTCCTTTTTGATGATTGTAGGGGAAAAAAATGTTACAAGCTCTTCAGAGTTTCTTTTAGGGTGTAAAAGACTATATAAAGTTTTGAACTGGCACTTTTTCATACTGTTTCAGATTTGAAACAGGCAACACGGCTTACACAGATCTGATGTGACACCATCTTCTTCTTGCTCTAAACTTGTGCCAAGTTGTGCATTTTCCAACACTCCCAATTCCCATTTCTGCCTTTCCCTCTGGATTTGTTGGCAAGAAGCTGAGATGAAAAATAATTTTCTTTGCCAACTCTCAGCTCTTTGCACATACTTAAAATTCAAATACACAAAAGTGACAAAACTCTGTTAATGTCTCCCAAAATGCTAAATGAGAGATTCTAGACCACTAATATTTTGTCAGACCTTTAGTTTTAATTTGGCCTCAGGTCCTTCATGTCTTCGGCATTGTTTTTGATAACCTGGAACATCATAACAATGACTTCCAGTCAGAGATCAGTCGAGTTTTCAGTCTTTTCTCCCTCGCTTAAGGCATAGGCAGTGTATAGGTAGGAGGAATTTGCAGTGAGGTCAACACATTTTACTCCCGTTTCTCAGGGGTTATTTTCGTATTGGTGGTGTTTACGTTCCTGACTGGAGGCGGGTGGCTGTTGTCAGTGGGCACCGTTGCCATGGAGGGGTGAGCTCAATCTGCGACAATGGTGAGGTGGGCGGTTCATGTCAAAAGCTACATCCGCATGAGTGCCACAACACAAGGCTTTGCTGTAGAACATTGCATTATAATACAGGCATGGTGAGGCGCAACGTTTATTTTTATATTATTTAATTTTCATGATCACGGGATTAGTAGGAGTTAAGTTTTAGCTATGAATGAGTGTAGATAATTGCTTAAGACAATTATTAGTAAAGTAGTAATTTACATCAAACTTTATTGTGATACACATCCTGTACACATTAGCAGAAATCAAAAGAAAATATGAAAATACATAAGTGTGCACACACCATTAAACTAATAGTCTACTGGACCAGCTTTGATTCAGTTCCAGGCTATTAGTTTTCCATATCTTGGGTTAGTGAAACATTTCCCTCTGCTTCACATATGTTCTCCAAATCTCTGTGATTGTCAGGACAGCTCTTCTCCACAACTTTCTTCAGGTGATTTCACAGCAGCACTGTCCAAAACTCAAGTTTTGAAGATCCCAGCTCCAACACACCTGAATCTAATGGTCGATTTACCTTCTCGGCATCTCATCCATCTGCAAAGGCAAAAAAATTCACATTTTGGAACAAAACCGCATAAAAAAAACTTGCTACAGTGGGTCATGAAAACTAACTCCGAATGATCCATTTTATTTTTCTTCTAGTGCTTTTGTTGATACAAAAATAACCGCTTATTTTGTCACAATGATATTGGGGGGGGAAAAAAATCAAATCCTCCCTCATCTGTTGGTTTTGAGCAGAAATTTTAGGGTCAAAGCTAATATTTAGACCTATTCTGTCTTTCGTCCTTATATCCCTGACATATAGAGACTAGAGGAGACATATAGAGACTAGAGGAGACATATAGAGACTAGAGGAGACATATAGAGACTAGAGGAGACTGCTGTCACATGTAGAACCCAACCAGTGCTAATCACCTGTGGCTCCTCCAAAAGTACCGTCAGGCTCCTGGCAGCCTCCCTGCCTGACGTCTTGTCTATTCATCGGTTTTGTAGAAATGTTCAGTTCCAGTAGCATCACTGTTCTATATTTTCTTAACTGCGCTTTGTTATTTATGTATATTGTACTGTGTAAGTAGTTGCACCTTCCTTTTGACTGATGTAATAAGATCATTTTAATGCTCATAGTTTATATTTCGGTAAACTATGTGGTTTTAGCTAAATAATATAAATGAGAAAATTCTTCTTCTCCTCCTCCTTATTAGCATTGATATTACATTGTCATTTGTTTCTGTTATCATTAAAATTGGTACTTATGACTATGATCCAATTGTTGACCTTTATTCTAATACTCAGTCAGATGAAATGAAACGATAATCAAACAAAACTAAAATAAGTTAAACCATCAACAAAAAAGACAGCAGGCGTTATAACATATTTTATTGTTACCAAATAAATTGTATTTGATAATGATAAAACTTAGTCATGTTTTATTTAATCGTTCAACACTTGCAGTCTTTTTCTTTTGTTCAGGGAGACTGCAGAGAGTCTTTCTCTTTTGTGGAATTATTATTATTATTTTTAATCTATAGAAATTCTTTAATTTCAAATTAAGAATTTGAAATGCATGTGCCTTTGCCAGAAAAACAAAACCCAATTTGTTTTGTTGTCGCTAAATTGGATACAGCTCACCTGGACTGTGACGCCCCTCTCTTTAAACCAAAACACTAATTTGATTTCTGAATCTAGGTCAGTATTATCTGAGCTCTTCTCGTACTTCTGTTTATTGAGCCAGGTGTGTTTGCTTGTGTGTGTGTGTGTGTGTGTGTGTGTGCATGAGAGATTCTAAGAATCTCCCGGTCTGATAATCAGTGACAAAGATGTTATAGCAGTGTGACAGAGTTCTATTTGCCATGACGAACGTCTTCATCTGATCACTTTCCCTGTGTTTTCATTTATATTTGTATTTCTTTTTGCAACTTATCAACTGCTAGCATCTGCGCTATTTCCAGGCGGATACACCACAGTGGGCCGGGAATTCAGAGAATTCAGGCAAGGCCACGGCAGCTCAAGCAGGTGGAGGAAAAGTAAGGGCTATTTACAGAAAGAAAGGATAAGGAAGAAAAAAAACAGAGGTAGTGTTGGGGAGTGGAAAAAAAAAGCAAGAGTCCTCTCTACTTGAAGTGTTTAGCAGACATGCTGTCAGACTCGGAGGTTAGAGGGGATGATTGTATCGACAGGCTTTATTTGCTGGTTATAAGTGAAAAAGAGTCAGAAAGCAGGCAGGAGCAGAAAATGCTTCTGATGCAGAAACGCGCCATAAATCACCACATGCAGTTCGTGCTGAATGAAAAATGAAAGCAACAAACACCTGCTGAATGTTGCCAATTTTCTCAGCACTCTGTATTAACTCAAGCATATTTGCTCCATCAGACAACATGTCCAATTTAATTTGGCCCAAATGGCTTTGAAGTACACTTCCACTTGGTGTCATTGTCAAAAGGCAAAATCTCAACTCTGTTAAATTGTCAATAACGTGATTATGATTTATGTTATTGTGTTTTAGCATTTTCACATGGCAGCGGAGTGCCTCGGTGCATGGGAAAGAGGACAAAACCACACAGGGTCACAGAATATGAACAAGGTTTGATTTAGTTCCGTTTTGTTTGCGCAAACGTCAGTTTGTGTTTGGATCAGTCACTTGGATTTATAGCGTTCAGATTACGATGCAGTGAGGGGACTGACAGAAACATGTAAACTCTTCTTTGTGTATATGAAAATGTACAAACAATTTCATGCCACGTGTTTGAGCTTTTCAGTCTTCACTGCACACATTTGCACTTTCACAATTTATGCAGAGAATTAGAAACATTGTTCAGTGTGTACGGAGCTACATGGATGGCAGATTTTTTTTTTTTTTTATTCAGTCTTTTTAAGGTTTTTCTATTGATATGGCAAGATTTAGTTGGCTCATTTGATTTACGTCCTTTGATTTCAGGTGATTAAAAGAATATTTAAAAACGGATGAAAAAATAAATCCAGGAATGCATTTCTTTTTTTTTTTTCCGTTATCCATCCATTTTCAGGCTGCAGGGAGGCAGTTGCCTTTTTCCAGTGGTCAATGGAAAACAAGTGAGACACTTAGAGGTTCTCGTAAGGGTGCGATGAATCTACCAAGCATGTTTTTTTTGGCAGTGGGAGGAAAATGGAAGATCTCTAGAGAAAAGCTACGCACGCATGGCTTAGAACATCCAATCTCCAGTACAACTGGGTGCATGTAAACCCATGATCTTCTTGATGCAAGTACTAATATTATACTAATGCTAATATTATGTCAACATTTATTGAAGAATTTCATCAGTAGATCTCTAACCTCTTTTCTTTAAATACCGAGTACCACACTGCTTGCTTTTCATTAACCCTCTTAATAGTGGTGACCCAAAGTCATTGTGTTGCAGTTGGACTACGCGTGTGTTACAGAGTATATTGGATTTTAACATAGTGATAGACAGATGACTTATAGTAATATAGTTGAGGAATTCTAAGCATTTTATAAAGTGAAAATTAAATATTCATGAAATGTAAATTGTGCACACAAATCAGAAAATGTAGCAAATGAACATTTGAGTAGTTTAGGATTACCTAATTTCAATTATAAGAATAAAAGACATGTGCAGGGCCCATGTTTATAATTCTGATACAAAAGACAAAGTTTTAAATTGTGCACATATTTCTAAGTGTACATCATCATTACACAAGTGAATAAAAGTCAAAGGCAAAGTGGGTCTGTTAATAAAGAGCAGACTGCTGGACTGCAGGAGCTTGATTTTCAAACTAAACTTACACTAATACAAGAACTGGTACAGAACGTTTGTTTTTGTCAGTATCTAACAAAATAGAATCAGTCATTTTTACCAGCAGTTGATAAAAATCCCATTTAGGATTGATTATAACTATTTTAATCATCTGAGTTTAGTCAATGCACACTTGGCCGTCTTGAAAAAGGAATTGCCCATCAGTGTAGTATAGGGTTTTTACACACTGATTAAAAAAAATAAAGCACTGGCAACATTTCACTAAAACAGACTCATTTCTTCAGAAACCTCACATGTAAGTGCCTTAGTTGTTATTCCTCACTTTGTCAACTGAATGGGTGCTGTAAGTATAAAGCATTTGTGATGCAAAGTAAGCCAGAGTTGTGTTTCTGCCGCTTTGCTGAGGCTTTTCAGTTGGCGCTGCCTCATGATTTCTGACCCCACCCCTATTCTCGCCACCGCCGATGCTGAACTCTGTTTTCTCTCATCTCTGTGGCAACCAGAGTAACTTGCCTTTGTGAATATGTTTGTCCACAGTTAAGGTGTCGCCTGTGTGTTTAATGGACCTCCCAGTCTGCGTCAATGTCCGTCTCAGTGTCCCTCTGCCTCCCTGCCCGGCGGAGTTGAGAGGCTGGGTCCTGCCGCCGTTTGTCCCCGGTGTCAGCGATTGCGAATGAGATACAGCTGATAATGGCTGCTTTGTTCACTTTGCTAGATGTGCTGAAGCTGTGCTCCTGTGGACCAGGAGACGCCTGGTCAAACAGAGGCATACAAAGGCTCTGGAAACGGACGGCCGCAGCCCATTCTCCACAGTCTGCTGTGCTGCCAGCATACGCCACCTTCCACAGCCATGCTGAATTACTACCCTCACAACCTTTCACACTAATAAAAGGGTCTCTTTTACTCGACGGGGACACTGACATTTGCTTTTTGTCACATACAAAGGGTTTTTAATGCAAAGTTTTTTTTGTTTTTTTTACATGATTACTCAGAGGTCATATACGCCATACTCGGTATGCGGTCACTCTTTATTCAGTTGGAAAAACCACACAAGCACTAAAAAAAATGCCGAACTTGAGTTAAAATTGATTTTCCTCTAGTATTTATATGTAAGTGCTGATTTTTGCTTTTAAGATAATTTTTTTTCTGTTGACTTCCTGACAAAGTACATAAAAAAGCAGCTCTGATAATACAAAGAACTGGGGAGGGGGGAGCTGCTCTCCATTATTGCACTTTTAGCACTTAGAATGATGGGTAAATTTTCCACCTCACAGATTTCTCCTGGTTTTGCTTGTTTTGTTTCACTTAAATGTTTCAGATTATCAGACAAATTTGGCATCACACAATGATAACCAAAGTAAATTGATCAAAAACCAACCAGGCTCGATATGAATTCACTGCTATGAAACATTTGTAATGACTGCCAATGAGTCTTTTTCATCGTTGTGAAGGTTTTCTTCACTCACATTGGAGAGTTGTAAAGTATCACCAGTCAAACGAGGTTACATCCTAACATTTCAATCTAAGTCCAGACTTTGACTAGGCCTCTTTAATTCTTTAATATTCAACGTTTCTTTAAACCACTTGTGGGTGGACTTGTTGCTTTACATTTACATTACCCAAATGCTCTTTAGCTCAAGATCCTGAATTGATGGCTGGAAATTCTCCTTCAGGATATCAGAGCAGAATTCTTGGTTTCTTTAGTTACGGCATCCTGAAGGAGCAAACCAGCCCCCATAACTTCACACTACTAACACCAGGTTCAGCGCTAAGTTTTTTTCTGAAATACTGTTAGTTTTGCACCATTAAAAATAGGATGCACAGCTTCCAAAGAGCCAAATTTTTTCTTGGTAGTCCTAAGAATAGTTTTTCCCAAAGTCTTGGGAATAGCAAATATGTTTATTTGGAAGCATGAGACAGGTCTTTGTGTTATTTTTAGTCAGCAGTTGTCTTCTGCCTTGGAAGCCAGTTTTGGTTTCTTTCTTACTCTTGAATCATAAACACTGATATCAACTAAGGCCAAAGAGGCCTGCAGTGCTTGAGAGGTTCTGACATCTTTGGAAACCTTTTGAATGATCCGAATATGGTTTAGAATGGACTTGGGAATCCTTCCCATGCTATTTTTGTCTAATTTTAAATGTAATTCTATGATAAAGAAATAGCAAAAACAGAATACATCTGTCAGCAGGGCAAATTGCAAAGATAACATCCATGTGTTGTACCTTTTATTTTAAATGAAACACCTCGCACCAGTCAACATTTAAAAATGCCAAGAAATAATCTCAGGAGAAAATGCAACTTTCATCCTCATCTACCGGATGCTGTTTCTGTGTCTTGAGTGTTACCCTCTAGAGGAAATGAGGGTGTGGGGGGTGGTATGATTGGGAATTTGTTAGCAGGCTTCTATTTTTATGATGATGGCATATATTCTGTTGGGCTTCTCGCTGTTTCTTGAGTCTTCATTTTCTCATCGCCGTTCTCTAAACTGAATCAGATGTAAAAACATGACAAAGTTCACTAACTAAAGCAGCTTCAAGCGTGGAGCGCTGATACCACTATGAACGAAAGTTCCCCCGTCGCATGGAATCCCGTCACCATTTAAAAGTCATCGAAATGCCCCCGATGCTTTAAAGAAAAGTTGCTGCAGATGTAGCGGCTGCTTCTCACCACCTGTGCCAAGCGCCTCGGCGCCTCGACGTAGAACACAAAACCAGCAAAGGACGCCCTCGCAGTTTTGTTGAATTCGGTGGTTTTGTTCACCCTATCATGTTTGGAGCAGATTACAGTGTGTCCACCCGTCCTTGCTCCCCAGGGTGGCTCCTGTGTGCTTCAGGTATTGTGACCAGGCAGGCGGGATGGTGGACCTGGGCCCGGGGTGCCTTGGAGAGAAGAGAGGACAGCGGCTGCGTTTGTTTGCCGCTGAAAGGGATTACAGGTCCTGACGGCCATGATTAATCACCCGGAGGCAGACATCTGAATACAGCCGGGGAAAAGGTTCAACTTTTTAATTCATCCCGCACACAATCTATTCACACCAGCTGTTGGCGCTGGTTTCCCTCATCTCCCTGCTCTTTCTTCTCGGTGACCATTGCCTCACGCCGTCTTTCGCTCCCTATTTACGCCACGTGTAATTATCTGGGGACGCAGTTGCTGTAATTGCGGGGGGTGCCTGGACAACGCTCTATTTTTATTGGAGATGGGTTTCTTTCTTTCTTTGTTGGGGAACAGTTAATTGACTTTGTTAATGCTTTTGGGGATCAGTGATTTCTCAACAACAAATGACCTTTATGGAGCTCAGCGGCACATATTGTTTACTGTGTGTGTCCGTGCGTGCACAGATGTGTGTTGCTCCGCCGTGACCTTTTCTTGTGTCAGGTGTGCGTGCGTGTGTGTGTGTGTGTGCGTGCGCACGCACGGGCAGAGAAATATTTCCCCCCTCAAAGATCCTTTTTCCAAAACACTTCAAATTCATAAACATCTCTGCGCCGCTTCTGCGCTGAAAGACAGACAGCCCAAATCCTGGGTTTTGAATAAATTTCACATCTCGCCATGTTCATATCCACTCATATGAGCAGGCCTTCTCATTAAGACTCAGCAGGTTATATGATGGTTTTGCTGGAATCCCTGGAGCAAAATGAACAGGGACAGCTACACTGCTTAATGCAAGGTAGCCTAGCAACAGATAGCGGGATGGCGATGGAAACATACCCTCATATTTATGTTTACATGAGAGAATGATTTGTCTGTCAGGCTGATGGATCCTAATGTTCTCCTCTCTCCGGGGCTTTTTCTTGTGCTGCACGCGGGGCCTGACACTTACCCTGAAGGACAGGCACCACCTTCTCCAACACGCATGAATACTTAATACTGTTAGGCTGCATTTATGCAAAGAATGGAAATGGCACAAGAACATGGGGGGGGGAAGAGGGCAACTAAAATGCATCAAAACATGACACGGTATGCATTGGAAACACTGATGGAGGGTGTAGAAAGTGACGGCGGACATAAGAGAAGACGGAGTAGCGTATTGTTTCTTTTTGCCGCGCACTTCTTCTAACAGCATGCAAGTAATAAGATTAGGGCTGAATAGAAAGCAGTCGTTTGGTGTGCATGGCCACCGTTGACAACTGACAATATAAACTCACGTCACTTCCAGCAAGCACAGAGCTATATGATGGAGTCTGTCTTTACTGTATGTCCAGCTCCTCCAGGGACAGACTACATCAACTCAATTAGCCTGGCACAGCCTGAGTATCAGCACCATAGATTAGATTTCACCCTGCTTTGTTTACCAGAGAGCAGCCCACAGAATAATATCTATACAATTTTTTTTATTTTTTCGCCCTTAAGAAAAATGATGACAGTCGGAGCGTCGATCACAAGCTCCTAGTGTCATGCAGCAGTGGGTGAAAGGCTAGGAGAGATATAAAGAAGTCTTTTTGTTAGCTGATAGGCTCATCCCTGTT